CCTAAACCCTAAACCCGAAGCAGAAGCCTGATTTGGAGGTCCTTGAATCAGCTCTGAACCCGAAACCCTTGTAAGCCCTAAGCCCTAAACTTTGAATGTTTCGGGGTTTAGGGGCCCTAAACCCTAACCTTATTATTTTGGGGGATCCTTGAAGCAGAGCCGGCTCGACTGGACATTGCGAGAGATCAGTTCTTTGATCTCACAAAGAATTTTCCAAAGGATGTGATCGTGTCCCTCGCGAGAGCGTCATTGGACAGCGAGAGAGGGTTCAGAACCACTCCAAAAAGACTGGAATGTGGTATTCACTGTGTACGTGTTTGATTGCAAGAAAATCAAGCTGAGCTCAATACGGATGCTTGGCGTAAAGCTGGTGAATACCTGGCTTATACAAGACGAACTGGGTGGAGGACCAGGCGATCGGACGTTCAATGAGTTCGTCGAAAGTCATAGCTCTGTTCCGACTTTTTGGATGGACAGTCGGAAGAACGCATAAACGGTAGGATGCGAGAAGTGCTCTGGCGGGTTTCTTTTGTGAGAAAGCCATCTCAAGATTGGATGCAGCAGCGGGAGGGTGCGGGAAGGTTGTTGACAGTTTTTATCGGCCGTGCAGTTGGGGGAGCCATCAGGAGCTGGAGAGATCATTGGGTGCGTTTTCGAGGTCGGGTTTCAGTGCCCTCGCTTCAAAAAGAGCGGGTATTCACTGAAGCAGCCGAGGCAGGATTTCCTAACACTGTATTAAGGTGCTTTTCCAGGTCCGTTGCCGGCAGGATTTGGGGAGAAGCATGCAGATCTTCTCCTCTAGGGTGGTCGTTTTCGAACTGCTAACGGTTGGCCGGTTGCCTGTCGAATTATGTTTATAATTGCCTGTGGCCACTCCCGAGATGCGCGAATACCGTTCAGCCTCCCCTGGTTCGAAGAGATGACTCCATCTTTTCGCGACTACTCCATATTCCTAGGTCGATACGTAGGCAGAGAACACAAGATCGGGGATCCTCGAGGTAATTCTGGCAGCTGTCCGGCATTTTCGCTCAGTTTTTGATCTTGGCCTTCCAAGGCGCACTCCACCTTTTTTGTGTCGGTCGCAGCCAGTCAGACAGTGTAGACCGCAGAAAGCGACTTACTCATCCAAGAACATGACGCACGACTAACCCACCTGGAGCAGTGAACGGGTTCGCGCGACCTCCGACCTCGAATAGCGCGCATGCACACATGGTGCCCGAACTAGCACAGCAGGGATCGGAGGGGTGCCAGAGCATGTGGAGACCTCTTGACGCTTTCGCCGGTTGGGGGGAAGGGATGTTGCCAAAGTAAGCTGCAAAATTGTCGCATCGTGTGAAGTGCACGAGATTGGTCCCGACCACAAGTCAACAGGACATTGCCAAAAAAAGAAGACGCAGCACTCTCAGACCAACGGCCACCGGCAGGAGCACGATTTCGGGAGATTTTTCTCAAGCAGTAGCAGGAGCATGGTAGAGCACACGAACGCGGGACTGCGGCAGGAGCACGATGCCAACGGCGACGGGCAGAACTTGCCCGTGCGGGATTCTCGAAGATGTGCATGTGGCGCAGCAGTAGCCGCGCAAGTGACGAATTCCGGCCGAACTCGGGCCCATTAACCTGGTCCCTTGAGATTCCCTATTTAGGCCACCACGGAGCTTGGGGAACAAAGATGGACTCACGGTCGAAACAGTGTCGGGGAACAAGCGCCCGGAGCACCGACACAAGTTGGTCTTGAGGAATATATGGCCCCGCAAGACGTGAGGGTGGCCAAGGCCCAGGTGATGAAGACTTGCCATGCCTTCTGGGCTTCTATCTTAAGCATGCTGCTTGGTACGCGGATGTGCCAGAGGCGGAGGCCGACCTGGTGGTGGACCTGGCCTTGTCTTGCACCCAAGACAATCCCGGTCTTCGCCTTGGTTTCGGTCAGATTGTGGACGGCCTCCTGGCCCGCGGCTTTCGTCAGGCGCTGGAGTTGGTGGGGCGGCTAGCGACTTGCAGCTGTCCCCATGCAGGTGGCCTTCCCCACCACAGTGAGGACACCGCGGAATGCTGCGCATGGGCTGCCAGCTACAACAGGAATTGAGAGGAACGGTGAACGTTGTGCGCACCTTCATGGTCACAAGCTAGGATCTCAGATGCAACGATGCCCACCCTTTAGGCTTCTACAGTACTTTGGAACCTTAGGTCCCTGGGTGAAGGCTCATGAGTCGTTATCAGTACAGGATTTCAGGTCTATAGCTGCTAAAGTTTCGAGTGGTTAACACACACCAGACTCGGTCCTTACTTACGATTCTATCCTTGAGCCCCTACACCCCTAAACCCCTAAACCCTAAACCCCTAAACCCTGAACCCTCTGCTTATAACTTCTCACAGCGCACTCTGGTCTAAGGGACCCAATAACTAGGTACTCGGGTTTGGGATGGTGATTGATTGTGCAGGTTACTATCTTGGGGAGTAGATGATGTTTTGGCACTTGGAACCTTAGGGTAATGGAAGGTAACATCCAAACCCTAGACCTCTAACGGTCTCAGGACACAAGGGCTTCAATACATTAGTAACACCGGCGGGTTCATTTGGACTGCCTCTCATGTTGGCTCTCAGCACGAGGCGATCGATCGCAGGCCAGATGATCTTGCCTCTAGAACCGTTGAAAAGAACCCTAAACTTCGCAGTTCAGGGTGTAGGGTGGGAATCTCAAGCTTTAGAATGTAGAGCCTTGCTGGAACCCTTCATCCTAAGGGAAATCCGACGTAAGCCGCAAAGGAACATCGATATAAATCACCCTAGTGGGACTTTAATTCTCGTTCACAAACACTTGAAGTCCTAAAGCCTGCACTGCCCTGTACAAATGCTGGAGGATCCACACTCTTAGCCCACAGGGTCCATATATACTACCATTATGGAATTAGGTCCCAAAAAACCACCCATGATATGGTTTCGGGGGACTTACTTCCTTAATAGCAGTAGATATGGACCCTCTTGGTAAAGGAACCTGAATAATTTATGGTGCAAGTGAAAACTTCACAAAACCCCAAACCCCGAAACCCCAAACCCTCCAACAAGGAAGCTTGACAAGATCCCTAAAGCCCTCTATGCTAAAGTCTGTCGGAAGCCTTCCCGCACCCATAAAGGAACTTTAAAATCCTTAAACGCCCTAACCCCTAAACCCTAAACCCCCTAATTAAGCCCTAAACCCCTACACCCTAGGCCCGTAGACCGCTAAACCCTCAACCCCTAAAACCCCGTCAACCCTTAAAAGCCCTAGGAATCTCCACCTCTCTGCAGGTTGGGATGGCCGCTACGGCATCGCTGTGGCCACAGACATCTCGGAGGCTCATCCCCAGGCCGGGTTAGACTGGCTTTCCTTTAGGGTTTATAGGGCTTAGAGTTTGGGGTGTAGGGTTTAGGGTAGGAAGAGATGGAGAATCAATGGTTCCGGGTCAATTTGAGGCTTTCTGTGTCGTTGAAACAACCAATGGCGAGTGTAATGCTACGAAAAGCTGCCCTAAACCCCAAACCAGACTTAAACCCGAGCCAGGCTTCGCAACTGTTTGCAGCTTCATGGTTGGTAAGAGCCATGGCTTAGAGGGATATGGCTTGGAGCCAGTGGGGTTGGAGTGTTCTGAGATTCCAGACTGAGGGCTCAATGATGAAACTGCCAGGGTTTGTGCTACAGTGTTTGGAGCCTATGGGTTTCTGCGCTTACGGCCCCAGAGAGTAGACTTGAGCACCAAAATTTCAACAGCGACCGTAAGTTCGAGAGGCCAGCCTCCTGCTAGAAGACCAGTTACCTTAGATGGTGAATGATGACATACAGTCCATCGGTGTAGGGTTTACACGCCCAAAGAGTAAGCTGCTACAACAGTCATACGGCCTCTTTAGGGGGCCAGAAGACAATAATCTACCACGAATTTACAGCAGAAGCCCAAAAGTTAGACACCCAATAGCCTCAACCCTTAAGAGTCGTGTTTAGGAATCCCAGCTGTAGTTGTCCTTAATCCGGTTTTCAGCTTTTGGGGGTTTACTATAAAGATATCTGGGCATCGGGGCTCCATGAAGCATATATTGTTGACAGATTTAGTTGCGTCGGCCGAAGCCGCATATCTCCGACCTGAAAGAGGGTTTAGGGCTTAAAGGGTTGATTTAGAGTTTTGGGTAGATATGAATTCTCGAAGCCATGCAAAAACGCTCCAGTTCTCTAACTCTGCTTTTCGAGCCCTCAAGACTTGACAACACACCCAAAAGAGCCAACCCCAAACCTCAACCCACAGCCCAAATCCAATCTAGAGTGGATGGTTTAGGGTTTAGGGTGTAGGACCCCAACCTAATAGCCCAAATCTTAAACCCTAAACCCAATCCAAACCCAATCCAAACCTGAGCAATTTGTGTTACCCTGTTTCATTTGTGCTTTGAAAGGCCTTGGCCTTCGTCGGTGCAGCCTGGGGGCCGAGAAACCCGGGTTTGGAGTACCATACTTTAATGCTTCCTTTTTTGGGACCTGTTCCTCAAAGGAGCCTTTGCGAAATAACCTAAACCCTAAAACCCTAGACCGTTGTTTATACCTTTTACTCCTTACTTCAAAGGCTAGAGAAAAGGGGAGTCGTCAAAGGCGTGAAGGCCCAAGTTCCTACGAGGGAACTGGGGGTCCTTTTTGGGGAGAGACGTGCAACAAGTATCCCGCTGCTGGGGATTTATGTTGGGGCCTTGTTTGGGGGTCTTGTACTTCTGGAACTCCCATATGGCCATATGGTCGTGAGGGTGTTGCAGAAAATACGGGACCTCAATAGTACCTGATCTTCAGATTCCCCCAATATGAATTGCGGCAAGGATTAAGATAGTGGGTCTTCATCAAGATGATTTCGAGTAACGTTGACGAAAGCTCATGCGGTGTTCAACGTATCTCAGCGCCTCAAAGAGACTCAACCACAGGGGATTCTGAAGCAGAATTCCCATATAAATAATATAGGGGCCTTAATATTAATACATATTTCAACGGCATACCCCACCGGCCCCTCTAGAAATCCCCCGAGGCCCACACGGCCCACACCGTGGTGAAAGGGAGGGTCAACCCATTCTAGTTGGACGGGCTTCCGGCAGCGTACACCCACTTCAAGGCTAGACCAACCCATCTAAATAGGCGTCCAGCCTCGGCCCGCACTGGCCTTGGCCTGAAGATGCGGCTTTTGTTTGACTGAGACCGTACATTGGGTGCATCTGCCAGCCATCCCAAAGGCTCCATGTACCCTTATAGTAGATACTTAGGCCTAGGGACCCCTTTAAGGCCTAAGTATCTACTATATGGGCACATGGAGCCTTAGGGCATGCTCATGGCCCATGGCCGATGGAAGCGTCCAGGCAGCTTTTTTCGGTTTTCTTTGCTTATGCGAAGGGCGGCGCTCCTTTCGCCTGCCGGCTCATCGCGTGGCTTTACCACTGCTTGGAGTTCTTCGCACTTCGTCGGGGCGGCTTGGGACCTTATGCCATATGCCTTATACGCCTGAAACAATAGGTAATTATCACGTACTCTTGTGCCTTTAAATTCGCAACACCTTCCCCTTTCGGGGAACCTTCTCGTTGTTTTGGGAGGAGAGTCCCGGCACGGATTCAAGTTTTTCAGATGCAGATATGACGACTGTTGATCATATGTCTGAGCCCTTAGATTGAGGTCTCCTGAAATCAGCGATGCTCCTGTCGGATTGGATATGTAACTGTATGTATGCATGCATGCATTTAAGTTTGTATGTATATATGATCATATATGTACTTCTGCTCACACTTATTTAGTTGTTCATGTGTGTTTACCTGTTTTGTTGATCGAAAGACTCGAGCTAAGACTGACTAGCTTGAGGATCTTGAGAGCGCGGCAACACTAAACCCTGAACCGCACAACCCAAGCCTCAAGCCTAAACTGTAGGCCTCTCTCTTGAGGCAGGCTTGCGGAGAAAAGGCCAGTGACATTAAAGAAGAACTGTGCCTGATCATCCCAAAGCTCACCTTGTTAAGGATCCTCCTTTCGACTTCTGTCTAGACCGGGAAAGGTAGGTTTTCGGTGGTTAAGGTAAGCCCTGCGTGTACCCCAAAGCCCAAAACCGCGTAGGCAACCCTGTAGCACCCTAAGCTTCGCACTAACCTTGTTAAAGATGCCCGTATAAACCGGTGCAGAACCCGTAACAACCCTGTACTAGCCTAAACTTTACACTAACCTTATAAAATATGCCCGTATAAAACGGTGTAGAACACCTAGAGAACCCCCGTGAAATCCTGAGCCTACACCAGGCCACTACGGCTGCCTTGTTCTTCCCGGATGCCCCGATGCCGCACCATTCACAGCGTGCAGGGCCCGGCCCGGAGGTAAGAAGCCACAATTTAGGGCCTAGGAACCTAGCTAAGTTGATTTTTGAGAGATTTTTAATTTTCCTCATTTGGGTTTATAAGGGACCCTTTATATAAATATTTTTTAGAGGGTTTAAAGGCCAACCCAGCTAGGGTCTAGGTGGAGATTTATGGTTGAGGGTTTAAGGTTTAAGGGAGGGGTGTAAGCCCTTAGCCACCGATGCATGAAGACCTTCCGGAACGGTGTTTGTGCGAATCAGGGAACAATGATGTATACACCCGCTTTTCCAGTCATGCAGAAACCTGAACACTTCGTCATACTATTCCATAGGTTTCCTTACAACGCAAAGCTTTGTCCCCCAAAACCCTATTCCAATGAGTGATGCCCCGTTTGACAACCTCCATCCTCTATGTGCGCGTTTCAGATTCATCCCCCCTAATGTAGGGGCCCCAATAATTACCTATACTATTTGGGGGTTCCTTCTTATAAACTTAGTTTCATGGGCCCCAAGACCCCATTCTAAGTTTTAAGGCCCCTCACTTTTCCCGCATTTCTTCAGATGGGAGTTTACAACAAACCCGAACCCCTTCGGGCTCTGACTTCTTCGTCAGTAAATGGGCCTGAACCTTGTCCAATAGTTACTTGTCGTTCGTCCTATATTAAAAACCTTAGTATATGAAACCCCCTCAAAAAACCCTATAATTCAAGTAGTAGGCCCAAAGAACCCACGTTTTCGAAGACTTTTCACGTACTATGGAACCTGGAAAAGTTAGCTACTAGTTTACTAGTTTGGGGGGGGTATCTAAGCCTTTATCCCCCATGCCCTAAACCCCTAAACTCTGAGCCCCGGTGCTTTAACCCCAAACCCAGGATATGCAGAAGGCAGTGAGGTCGTTTTAGAGGCATGCCCCCAAACACCAGGGGGGGTCTAGTTGTTTAACAAATGGGTCAAAGTAGACATAATGTAGTACTATTCCTGAGGGTTTTACTGTATCATGATGTAATTTACTCCCAAACTCTTGCTACTGAAATTGTTAAGGCTCCTTATACTAGGCGTGCAAGCTGCAGCAACATGCCTTAGGCGCTTCCTGCGTGCTCCATCGCTTTGACTTTTGCAAACCTGTCGGATGGTCTGCGGCCAAGATCTTTCTCAAGGTTGCTGTAGAGGGTTTAGGGTTTGCGGTGGTTTTGGGGTCACATGCAAAGTTTTCGACTCTAGACGACGACTCCTTAGGGTAAGCGACTACTGGCAGGGCTACCTTGACGTAAACCTGGTGTTCCTGAGACCCGAAGGCCCAAACAGTGCATATATATATATATACATACTTTGGCTCCAAAGTACCAATATAGGCCCTACTTTAAGGCCAAAGTTAAAACTATTTGGGCACGTTGACGTTCGCGGTTCAGCAAACGGGTATAGTTGAGGGTTTAGTTTAGGGCTTAGGGTTTAGAGTTCAGAGTCTATAGGGTTAAGGGTTTCGTTTGGGGTCTAAGGTTTTATAGGGTTTATAGGGTTCAACGGTTCAGCAGATAATCATAGCTGCCCGGAGTCCTTATACCCGGGGCGCAGCAAGACCTACCTGCAATCTGCGTTCTAGGTATTTTTTTGGAGGGTTACCTTCGTTTACCTCATAGGATCAGTATATGACGATTATGATGGAGACTATAGGTTCAAATGCTGCCGTCCCCACTAACAGTTATAAAGGTTCCTTATATGTCACACAGGCAGAAATGAGCATCAGGATTTGACGGCCCAGTGGGTTAAATCTATAGCAACCTTTAGCACCAAAAAAGGCACACTCATGAGCACAAGGTTGGGCACCAGAAAAAGCACGATCATGAGCACAGAATTTAGCACCAGAATATCGCGGTTTTGCTGGTGCTGTTTTGTTGTGCTTCTGTTTGTGGTGACTGTTACTAGGGCGCGCGACAGCTAAAACTATAGGCCCTAGAAGCCCTAAACCCTAAA